TATTGAACATTAAACCTGTTTAGCTGTCGTCTGGATTACCAAAGGCCGCGAAAACTGTTGGGGAACTGTGACAGACTGCAAAAACCCTATGATAAAAACTACTTCTCGCTTTCTCGCAGATGGGGGAGTAGCAGCATGGCAACCGCTGCCAAAGATCGACAAAACGACGACGAATATATTAATCAGCAATGGAGTCACCACCCGTTCTAAACGGAGGAGGCAGACAACGCGATGTCATAATAGCACGTCAGATCAGATTCTACGGGAACAATACCAACCGTGGGAGCTTACAGTCCGAAATTAAAACATCCTCACTCAAAAGGAACGAGCAAGAGCTAAATCATCAGTCACAATGTACCAACTCGACACAGTCAGACCAACATCAACGAAACGCCAAGACTCGGGGATCCTGAACTTCTGCGGGTGTCGAAGAGCGCACAGATCGGTGTTCAGGTAAAATCCAACCTGCCTAACAGAATCACTGAATGGAAGCCTTTCAATGGAAAAGAGGCAATCCTCCGACCGAAGCCACAACAGTCTAAAACGCTTACCTTCTTACAGGTCTATGCGTCTAACTTAGAGGGGGAATATAAGTAATTCCTTGAGGAAGTGAAGTGTGCTCTGCACAAAATGCCGACTACGGAATCCCTCATTCTAATTGGCGATTTTAATGCGCATGTCAGAAAAGACGCTGAAAAATGGAAAGGAGTGATGGAAGAGAATGGTCCTAGCAACTTTAGCAATTACGGCATGGAGCTTTAGCAATTATGGCATTGCGGCCTTGTGCAAACAACGGACTCTATTGCGAACACCTTCGAGCATCGAAGCATGTATCCGAGTACCTGGTACAGGAGTGTAATTGCCACTGCTGTTTGCCATCCTTTTTGACTGAACGCTTCAGCAAATATGAAGAAGCGATGCTAAGTGGTGAGTGAATAACATCTGCGTAATCTCTCTTGCAGCTGCGGATGATATCGTATTACTTGGACAAAACGTCGAAGCTGCGAGATCACTGTTCTTAACTCTGAAACAGAGGTATTCTAAGTTCAGCCGTTTTATTAACTTCAAGAACATAAAATGGAAGAAAATTGGTAGAATCCGGACCAAAGACTGTCTGACCCTTGACACCAAAATTGTGGAAAGGGTATCAAAATATCTTGGGAGTAACATAAAAGTGCAGACCGACGAATGAGGACAAATCTGCAGATGTACAGGCTTGCATTCTGAACATCTTGTTAAATGGCTTGGAGACGGTAGCACTTAACGAAGGTGGAAATGGAAAACTGGAAGGACGTAAATGATGATTTCAAGACAAATGGGGGAGAAGACACAATTTGGTGACAAAGCAGTCATAAGAGAAACATCAGATTATTCAACTACAGCAACCGATTGGTCATAAGCAAGACATTTAGAATAGTGGGGCCATTGCGTACGAATGGACGATAGCGGCCTTGTGAAGCGGATATTGAACAAAAAGCCTAGTGGCAGGTGGCCATCGTGAAGAGCTCTAACAAGACGGGAAGAGCTCTTCAAAACAGTCAAGACATCGAAAGAACAGAAGAGTGAACATGCATTTACTCGCTCCAGGTGAAATGTTTTACAGGATCATGTCATCTTCGACGCAATCAGATAATAACCATAAGAAAATATTTTGCCACTTTACACCAAACAGTGGAAAAAAGACACTTTGACTGAAGACCCAAACGCAAGGATAGGGGCTACTTCTCGTTTTAATTCCTAAAAAAATTAAAATGAAGCGTTTTCTTGAAATCGGCAACAGTTAATGTAAGATACGATGACAATAGATCAGAAAAAACCTCTTGCAAAAGATATCAGGAAATCTAGAAAAACTAAGAAACCAAAATTCCACGTCTGTCATTCTGAGCCGGTTGATGCTTGAAGCAACAGCAAATTTGTTGATTCATGATTGAGAGCCCAAAACTATATCGAAAACCAAACTTTATGTCGAGGGGTTTTGTTACCATAGCTGTAGCATCATCAGAAATCATCATCGCTGTTCTTTCATTATGATGTCAGCAGCACAGGAGCAGGTCAATAAAAGCTTTAACATAAAACCTGTCAGGTGTACTCATACAATGGATGAACAGAATTTTTATAAAAATTGAATAAATTTGAATGGCAAAGGTCAAAGAAATCCGGCAAAATTATTTTGTACAATTCAAGTCTCCATTCTTCTAAATCAAATATGACATCCGTGGTTGTGATATGACAATAGCTAAAAACCAATTACTTACGTTCAACTGCTCCTTTTGTGTGATGCCTTTAGCTGCTCCACGAGACAAATTCTGACCGATGAATTTCACCGGTTTGATCAGAGGAGAAAGGCTTTTGAGCAAGGTAGCTATTTCGGCTACACTGTCACGAAACGATGTGAATATAATGGCTCTAGTGGAACGAGACTCTGAAAAGAAAATAGTGAACATGGGCGGAGCAAAGCTAAAGTGTTACTTGAAAAGTCATAGTCAATGTTAACAGTACGCCTACCATTCTCTGTAGACTGTTATCCGTCTACAAAACATATCTTTCTAGGAGAACAATATTCTGACCAGAAATTTACCATGGAAACATTTGAGGCGATTAAGGCCTGTAATAATCTCTAAACAAAAGAGTGAAAAAAATCAGTTGTT